GGGTCCGGGCTGGGGATTCGAACCCGCCACCTTAGGTGTACGTGGCTGGCGCCTTAGCCTGTTGAGCTATAGGCGCCGAGCCAGATCAAAACTATTCTTCCCTCATTGTATACTTTTGGAGTTAAGGTACTTAAATTCCAGAAATATTATTAATCCCAAACTGTTCCCAGGGATCCTCTGTTTTCAGTTTCTCTATGTCCCTATGCCTGTTAGTTTCATGGAATAAAGAGTTAGTTTGTACATTGGTCATTATGAAAGTTTTGAGGTATGTAAAAATATGAAATCCACACAGGCAGAAAACATGTGAAGCCTTCCCTGCCCAACTCAGTAAGCTAAGTGAGTTAAAACGTGGATAGTGAATCAGAAAGGATGCTGTATTTCTTGGAAGTGAAATAATGGACCATAACACGGTCTGTCTCAAAACTTTATTAGTGACCTACATATTTAAAAATGTACTGTTTCTTTGGAAATATATTATTTATTGCTTTGAGACTGTAAAATAGTTGTTCCAGTTAGTTACATTTAAGCATCTCAAGAAGGTCCAGCTTTTCATCGTCTATCAGATATTCATATAATACTCTTACAGGCAGTGCTAGCTTTGCACAGTACAGTGTTAATTAAAACACGTGCACATTTGGTCTGTGTTTTGCTTTGCCTCCTTTTTATAGTTTCATTTAACATGGTAACAGTGCAGTTGAGAACTGCTTGCATTTAAATGACCTTTTTTAATGAATAGTAAAGAAACCTATGTTTGCGAATTTCAGCTGTTTTTGGTAGCTGCTACTAACTAGGGTGAAAGGGACAATGATGGGGAATGCCAGTTATGGTTTCATGTGAATTTGTGTTTTATGTTTGTTATTTCTGGTTTTGATCATTCTTTGTATTTTGTCATACAGATCCAGTTTAGAGAGAAGGTGTTATGGACTGCTATAACTCTCTTTATTTTCCTAGTATGTTGTCAGGTAGGTAAACCACAATGTTAAATAAAGTCTGTGCTAATGTAAGGTCTTCATTGGTTAGATTATTTTTTCTGAGGCAGCATGTCATTCTGTTGCCCTGGGTGAGTGATATGGCGTCATCAAACCTCACAGCAACCTCAAATTCCTGGGCTCAAGGTGTCCTCCTGCTTCAGCCTCCTGAGTAGCTAGGACTACAGGTGCTTGCCTCAACTCTCAGCTAGTTTTTCTTATTTTAGTAGAGACAGGGTTTCACTGTTGCTCAGGCTGGTCTCAAACTCCTGAGTTCAAGCAGTCCTCCTGCCTCAGCCTCCAGAGAGCTAGGATTACAGGCATGAGCCACTGTGCCTGTCTTAACTGGTTAGATTTTAAGAAACTTTTTTTAGTGAAAATAATAATAAATACACCATAGTGAAATATGGTGAGCATTGTCATACTTTTTAATCTGAGTTTAGTAGTGAAAATTGTTGTTGTATTTCTTTTGGTTCCTTAGTGCAGTGGTCCCTGACATTTTTGGCACCAGGGACTGATTTCATGGAAGACAGTTTTTCCACAGATAGGAGAGAAGGACAAGAAGACAGAGCTCAGGCTGTGATGCAAGCGATGGGAGTGGCTGTAAATACTACAGATGAACCTGCACTGCCTGAGCCGCTGCTCACCTGACCAGGTCCTAAAAAGCCAAAGACTAGAACCTTTTTTTCCAACAGGGACCATTTTATGGGAGATAATTTTTTCATGGGGGGGAGGATGGGACAGGAGGTGGAGCTTAGGTGTGATGCTCTGGCTGTGCCACCTGGTTTCTAAGAGGCCATGGTACTTACTGGTCTCTGGCCCAGGGGTTGAGGACCACAGCTTGGTGGGTTTGAACATTTCTTCTTTCTGTTTTCAGTTAATGGTCTTAACATACTTTTTTTCTTGAGATTTATTTTCTTATTTAGGACAGGTTTCTTTTTTTTTTTTTTTTTGAGACAGAGCCTCAATCTGTCCCCCTGGGTAGAGTGCTGTGGCATCACAGCTCACAGCAACCTCCAGCTCCTGGGCTC